ACGGGAAACAACAGCGCTGCCAAATTTGAAGCCCCGCCAAAATTGTATCTTTTTATTTCGCATTTCTCTAAACCCGGCAAACCCATATCCCTCTAGTGGGTTAACCACAGCATATGACCGTGCTGTACGACTAAAGCGCTCAACCTTTCACCGCTAACACCACTCGCTAACTGACACCAACTCCCATCATTGTTTCGGGCAAGCTACAAACAAATGCTTAACAACCATTTAGAAGACAAACAAACGCCTAGTTTGCTATAAAGCCGGCTACTCAATCTCTTTCATCACCCGTATTTAAACATTTTGGTCCCTTGCCAAACAATTTCCCGTAATTTCTGCTCTTCCAATTTCCCCCTATCTTTAATTCCTCTGATGGTCTTGTATGTTAACCACACGAGAATGCTGAGGATTTTGCTTCCCGATTTGCCATCAACTCCACTTTGTCCAATTATCCTTCTCCACTTTCTTCCTATTTCACTCGCAACCATTTTCTACATCATATTAGCACTAGAAAACGCAAACAAATCACCCCGTTCAGACGGTATTCCATCCACCGTCCTCAAAATATATACTCCAGAGTTATTTTCTGTTCTAAATCGTCTTTTCAGTCCTTCCCTTCAACTTTTCCAACCCGTTGGAAGCGCTGTGATTTTTCCCATTCCAAGATGCGGTGACCTTTATGACTCCAATAATTACCGATCCATTACCCTCGTTCTTCGAACGTGAAGGACTAATGAGCGACTGCTTTGAGGATAAATAGATTTCATGTATAGATCGGCCAAAGTGTAAGATGGAATCCACATTACCACTCGATCTTTTTCTTCGAGGGTGCGCTTCTAGCTATTTTTCAGCTAAGTGCTACCCGCAAGGAAATGTCGATGGCGCTGATCTTATCTAAAGGAGCTCATCGTAACAGCGGTCAGTGAAGTTCATTCTACTGTATTCCGCTCTGCGATGATGATGAAGGGTCGAATTCGTGCACATCGCAAAGGTTTCTACGAAGATACATGGCTTTTTGTTGCTTTCCTGGTGGAAAACTGCCACAACCTCAAAGCCCGCCACTAGTCTTCTGCAGTCACCTATTCAGCGCAGCCATACTCATCTCACCGTTAATCATCGAACTAGATACACTTGGTGATGTACAGTTCCTCTGACTGTCGACTTGCAGTTGCACATGACCTCCGGAGACCGGAAAACTGCAACTGCATTTTTCTTTATTTGTGAACACGGTAATAAGTGGACGATTTGCTTATTGTTCAATCCAGAGTACAACGGATGATAACAGATGAACTTGTGATCTCATTCGACTTATAGTCCACGAAATTTGAGTTTGCACCTGTCTTGCGTTTAACTTTCTTGTAATCAGGTCGATCCGCTGTTTCAACATCAAACTGCTTCATACGATGAAGGCGGAACAGCAGAATTGCGTTTGAACCAGCTTAGTACCTTGGATGAGGCGTGCGTGCTCATCTTGGATTCCTCCACTCGAATCATGCATACCTCGTGTAAATCGACATCTAACGTGGTTAACATAGCTGGGATCTTGGACTTTCTATCACCTGTGCAGCCAAAGAATATCAACCAACTCACCATGTGTTCCAGTCTTGAGGATTTTCGTTTTATGAATTGGGATATAAGTCAAGTGAGTTACCCGATTCGCACTTTTTGATTTTCGCCAACAAAAGCATCGCACGAAGGTGCTGTTAGTGGTCCTGTAAACAGAGATACTTTTGCCCTAATTCGTATGCTATTAAGGAATGTTGGAACAGGTTAGCAATTCCTTCTGCTCAGTGCATCTAAAAAGATCGCCAATCTTTTCACTCTGAGGTTATCTTGCAAGAATGCAATAATGAATTCCATTTTTAAAAAGAGAAATAAAATCGATTACATGAAAACTCGTTGCAGCTTCTTCAGCTCCCGAGCACAGCCTTTTTCTACTTAATGATACAAAAGCGGTGTACCTAGTATTGCTATTGTTGTTGAATACTTATCCAGTATCTTTGTTCATCTCTTTTCCACCACAATTTAGCAAAATTTTCAGTGCATGTATATAGATGAAATAAAATAATCGACACGCTATTCGGAAACTCACAGCCTCAGTTCAGAGACAACGTACTCACTTACCTTCATTAGTTATCTCCGGTTGAGTACCGTAACTCATTCCTTATCAGTGGTAATCCAGTAGTGTCAGCTAATAGCACATGGACATGTGGTTTGTAAGCTTAAATCCCTCTACATTGTCACATCTTCATTTTTCCCGACGGTTTTCCACTGATCACTAACCCGTTCTAGAAAACCAGTTGCCTACTTACTGTCCTATCATTTATGTATCGAGATGTGTCACTGATTGCAGTTATCTGACTCTTAAACACTGAATTTCTTTTGAAGGATTTGGATGCTCCCGCGGGTGGACGCGACACAATTCAAATAGCATCGCCCAACACACTTGTGGACAACTTCAACGATGACAGTAATCACGATGATTTCGCAGACTATCCACTAAATGAAGATAATCCAAACGATGCCAGTAAGTATCAACTGTCTCCCTTTCCTCTTAGCTTTGCTCAGTTTTCGCGGACCTTTCCGTTCATCAAGTATGCTTATCCGGTAAACCTTTGTCAAGTCATTCCCATACTTGTACCTCCGATGTCAATTAAGCAACGGTGACTTCATATGTAGCTCGAGTAGTCACCTACAATGTTATCCAACATAAAGGATAGACATCTCTTGACAATTGCCGACATGCGAGCTTTCCGCACTGAGACTCCATCATGGCTTGCGAGCTGTTTTGAATTTGTGTCCGTTCAGTCGTGTTGGATTATCAACACAAATCAAACTCATCTTTTTGTTGTTATGTACTCCCAGAAGTGTTCAGATTTGACACGAACATGTCAAAGCGTAGTTCACATTACCACATGGCCTTTTCATTTCCCAATCAGACTATAAGTCTTTCTGAGGTTCACATCCCTGTTCTCCGGGTTATACAGGGTTTTTCGCAAAGTCGGTTCTGGTTTCGATGTCCTGATTATTTTATTATTTTTTAATGATCCTACTGTGTCGTTCAGTTCAGTTGAGTGTTGAGTACTCCAATTCTGATGGCTTATATAGAAAACTGGAAAAATAGGAACGGCAGCGAAATGAAACCATTGTATTGGGTTTTGGAGCTGACAAGCAGGTGCAGAAATGCATGGACACTATTTTAAACAATCCTGTTCTCTGTTGTTGTGAAACTGAAAGGTGAAATCGGGTTTAACCTCATTTAGCTGAACACCACGGCAAACGAGTTAAAGATGCTGTCTTCCATAGGTTCCTTTGCTTTCTGTTGCCTCAATTTTGTAACCGACGTATGGACTGCGGCTTCACGGCATAGAAAGCTCATGTCACCGAACAAAACACGAACAGGATTTGTGTTCTGAGAAATCTCTAAAAAAGAATCTCGACAGTTTACGGGTTATTGCCCGGAAAAGTGAGATCTGTTGTTTAGGTAGTGGTCAAGTGGTAATGACGCCAAATAATCGCCTCAGAGGACGTGTGCTCGGATCCCACCGTCACCACCCGAGAGTCCCGTTCGGTGTTTTATGACGACCCTTTAATTGGCCGCTTCCTCCTAGAAAATTGTATCATTATGTAATCAATGAAAAGAAGTAAGAATGAAAACGGAAAGGAAACGTTCTTTTTAGAAACAATTAACTGTCAATATGAATTCATCTCTTCGAGAGTTTTCAATTGTTTTTTTTTGTTGCCTTTTCTAAGATGGTGGTAATGTATTTCTTTACTCACGTTTCAATTCTTTCGTCCATAAAAGCTCTGACGCAACAACCTCCTGAGATCACAGAGCAGATTATCCCATGCGGATCTTCGGCTGCCACTGCAGCGACCACAGCATTCGGTGGAGATAAACCAGTTGTCGATGCCGAAGGTGAATCAAAGTAAGCAACCTGATCTACATGTCTGTAACTTCCGTCATTTTGAATATTGTTTTGCCCATTCCCAGCTCGTTTTTTGCAACGTCATAACGTTCTTCACATGTTATTGTCATCCCAGTAAATTGTTTTACTTTCCTTGCAATTTCTGTGAACATCCCATCTGTGAACTAGCTCGAAATTCCGGGAAGCCGTTCAATGGGAGAACATGGCTGGAAGTGCGAGGCGAGGCCTTTTTGAAGTGAAAAATTGGAAATTTGCAGTTTATTAAATAAATTAAATAATAATAATATATTAAATAAATAAATTAGGGTGGTGGTGGCCAGTGGTTCAGTCGCTGTCACCGGCGTGCTTTGGACCCTGTGGTCCGAGGTTCGAGTCCCGCCACCCAACTTTGGGGGTTAGACAGCTTTGCTGTTGCCCGGTTCAATACCACGCCTGATAGCGGGGCTTTATGTGGTTCGACACTCCAAGTCCCGGGGCTTAGGTCACTGAACAGCAGGTCTTCGTGACTGTGTGGTTCCACCCCGTCTGCTATCCATCACACCGGTGTGTAATAAAAAAAAACAGTTGCAGAGTCTTTGGGACCCCAACCGTGTCATGGCATCTTTATGCTTCGTTTCCATGTCATCCGTCGACCTCCACGTAATTTCTTCCAAACTGAAGCCTCAACTGCGAATAAGGCGCGGTGCGGTAGACAATGGCTGGGCATGGGCAAAACCTGTCACTGTTCTCGCATACCTCTGATCGAGTGAGATTTTATAATGAACAGCAGATCTTCATGACTGGGATTCCACCCCGTCTGCTGTCCATCAAACACCGGTGTGTAATAAAAAAAGAAAAAAATATAGCAACTTTTAGGCACAGAACGGGGTTATGTAATCGGATCAGTAAGGCCTCACTTATTGCCAACAGTTTTGCATTGTGGTTACGTAACAACGGCTTGAAAGAGGAAGCGGGATCAACTATGTGTTTGGTTGTCATGAGGTGTTTTGCAATTGATGACCCCGGGTTACGTGTGACCATCTGATTACTAGACATAGGTAAAAGGATGGATAAGTAGTCAATTATGAATAGGATAATTCGTTTTTGCTCTATCAGACAATGGGGTAGAAACAATGGATAAGTGCACAAATACCAACTTTAGGGACGAATAAGGTATGGAGATAAAAAATGGGAAACTTAAGACGGGTTGTGTCTGTAGTTGAAGATGGTTGAGTTTCGGATAAATGTAGAGCAAAAGGGAAAGTGGAATGAAGGAACGGACGCACGGAAAGACGAGAGCCACAGCTTCATTAACGCAGATTGACACGTTTTCCTCGTAGCTACAAAATCACGTCGCCTTAAGATTTTCTTCTCTTTCAGATTCACATAAGCAACGGCCAACTAACCGGTTTTTTGTCAGGGTTATAGCACTGGAGCTGTTAGAATTCAGAGAACTTGAATGAAAACAATTGAATGATTTATCTACTCCATTTGCTATCGTTTTCTCGCATCGATATACTTTGAGGTGTATCGACAATCGGCAACCGACTCGAATAGTGTAATTTCTACACGTACTAGGACTCTTTTCCGAGGTTTCCTTATTAAGTGTCGGCCTTACCCTCCCAATTTTTATGCCGCTAGTTGTTTAGAAAGCCCTCGTTTTTGATTTCGTTTCAGTTCAGCGTATCCATTGTGACTAGAATTGTCTCCATAGTTTTGGATCTGGTTGTGATGGTTAGGTAACGGTCATATTTCCTGTCATCGATGGTGTAGATACACGCATCTAATCTATTTGCGTAATCATCCTTATTTCAGTTGCCGCTTTTAGTGTTGCATCTTTGCTTTCACCTGCACACAACTTCGGTGTAGGTTCCAAACTAAGGGATACATGCTACTCGAGTA